GATGCTTTTTCAAGCTCAAGCATCAGGCTTCCTTTTGTTTATGCTCCAGCTACCTTTCATGAAATCAACATGCAAACCTGACATAAGGCAGCCAGGCAGATAGATGATGTGGCACCTCAAGGAACTCAAGATTGAGGGCTGAAATAAGCAAGAAAGAAATTGTAACTGGCACTGAAATATAAAAGTTTAAAAATTAGTGGGTTTTTTTTTCCTTTAGGACAAGGGGATTCCTGAGGCCAAGGTCATAAACAGCTTCCCCTACCTCTCCTCAGCCCAGATAAACAAACAAAATATTCAGATGCTGACAGGAGGAAGCCTAGAGCCCAGTTTCCTTTCCACAACAAAGGGAACAATAAGCTAAAGATGGCTAAAAGTGGCAAAGCAAATGTGGAGATTTGCATTATCTCTCCATGTTTTCCATTCTCTCTGTTCCTTACTGTAGAAGACCCCTGTCCACTTGTAAATGGAGAGGTGGCGATTTCAGGCAAATAGATCCCTCCATCTCCTAGGAGTTAGATTTGAATAAATCTTTTTTACCCAAATATTTGGCCTCCTCTGATTTGGTCAGTGGCAAGCAAAGAAATCTGAGCATATGAATCTAAGTGACAGGTAACTGTTTCTTAATAATTCTATGTTAATGGGGAATTTTTTGTGCATTACTCTTGTCTCTTTCCTCATCTCTTTAATAATAATGTTTTTAGCATTCACTATGGTAATAGAGTAAAATGAGACTTAAGCCAGAGTTTAGTAACTAATTGAGTTTTTCTAACATTGACTACAAGAAAATACATGCATTTGGTGCCATTGCAACCAGACATGGATGACTAAGCTTTTCATAGTACGCATGTTCTAAGTAACATATTTGAATTGGGTTGTTGTATAAAATATTTATTTTGATAGTATTTGTTCCTTAACTAGTCTTTGAAAGATATCACTTCACATCTATTTTCAATTTGTATTATTGGTGTTCACTCCAGACATCTTCTTTTCTTTTTTTTTTTTTTGTTATTGGGGATTGAACTCAGGACCAACTTGGGACCTTGTGCTTGTGAGGCAGGTGCCAGAACCACCGAGCTAAATTCCCAGCCCTAGACATCTTATTTTCTCTTCTCTAAGAAATGAACAAAGATGAACAAGATAAGGCTAACAGCAAAAGTCACAATGAAAAATGAGAAATTTTTGTATCACAAACATTCAAAGATGCACTTTAGGCAAATATATGACAAAATACTACATATAAAAATGTGAAATATAGAAGAAAGTATTAAAAATGACTTCCTGATCTAGGATTAGAGAAAACTCCAGATATAAATTTGTAAAGCCTCAAATGTTAAGGTGATGTTGAAAAGAAAAAAGAGTTAAGAGTTAGGATTTCTGTTCAGCTAAGAAAATCCTTGATCAAATTAATGTGCGAATGAAAAATCACAGAAAGTATTTTCATTCTCCGTAACAAATAAATACATGGATAAGAAGATTTAATTAAAAAGTATCTTCATCGCAAATATCAACACATAATACAAGCAGATAATTTATAGAAGGGCTTACACAGAAAAGAGACAAATAAAGACATTTAAAAAAAGGAGATGTGGGGCCAGGGATTTAGCTCAGTGGTTCCGATGCCTGCCTCGCAAGCACAAGGTCCCGAGTTTGATCCCCAGTACCCAAAAAAAAGGAGATGTGAGCATCTCTGGCATTTTCTCAAATCTGTTTCTATGGCAGTAAGAAAGAATGTTTCCTGTGACACTTACATCATTGACAGAACTTGAAAAGCCTACTTTCTCACAACTGCAGTGAAGGCAATATAAGGTGTTACATTACATCCACATGTTTTCTGAAGTATGAAATCACAAGTGGTTGAAATTCTATGACTTAGAAGATTCAGTGGACACATAAGCTCCTGAATGACATGGGACCCTAAGAGGGCAAGAATGATCCCAAGAGCTGCCACCTGTCTACCTCTGCACCCCAAACCCAAGCTGAGTGATTCTACCCAAATAACTCCCAGCCTATACGTCAACACTCTCTTTCTTTTGGTCCTCCTCTTTAGGCTGCCTTTCTGATGCCACCAGAGTGAAAACTAGGAAAGGATCCACTGCTGGGTGTGCTATGATGACACACATGGGGTGTGCAGAGGCCAGACTCAGGGGTGGCTTGAACTAAAGCTCTGTGCTATAGATCTCAGCTTTTCCATAGACCATCTCCAAGGGCTTCTCCAAACACCAACATGAGGGGGTTGTCCACAGAGTGTGGGGAATTCAGGAGAACTCGGGGGAATTTCAGAGATTGCAGGTCCAGCACATATGGAACAGACCAAAGGCTCACGATCATTTCTTTCCCTAGAGAGATGTAAGTCACTGCAAAGGAAAAACAGCCCCAAGACTTGGATGTGACAGTGCTAGACAGACATGACTTCAGCCCATTAAGGACAAGGAAGAGGAAGTGTGAAAACATGAAAGGGCAGAGAGGAAAGTCAAATATTTTTTCCAAGGTTAAGGCAGCTAGATTGGTTCCCAGAGTCAGTATAAATTAGTATTAGGAAAGGAAGTGTTTTCTCTTTAGCACTGTACATGCTTGGTGTCTTGCAGTTAAACTGCTCAGACCTGTGTCTGTTTATTGAAAATTTCTATCCTATTCTCTTGTCCAGATAAAGCAAGCTGGACAGTATCAATGGAGTGGTGTACCTCTCTATAATGCAAAATAAACAGATAGATAGCTGGATAGACAGATAACCAACCAAACAAATGAAACCAAACCAAACCAAAGCAAAAAAGAGAAAACAAAATCCAGAGCAATACTCCTTTATCCAATTACTACTCATAACGTGTCCCAGGTTACTCTTCAGGAGAATTTAATTAATACAGTGCTCAACATAGGAAACTACCTGATAAGTTTCATATTATCTGGACGAGTACTTTTGCTGTTTTCATTTGATGTCCTGTCACTGACAGAGCAGTAACTCGCTGATGATGCCCAGCATCGCGAGCAAGTACTGTACCATAAACCACCAGTGTGCAAATAGAATAAAATTCAAAAACCAAAGTAAATTTTCCACTGAATACTAATTAGTTTCTCTTATTCTTCGGTACTAGAGATTGAATTCAGGGCCTTGTGCATGTTACACAAGTTACTTTAGATTCGAGACACACTCCCAGTATTTTTACTTTATGTTGATCTGGGTATTGCTCCACTGTCCAGGTTGGCTTCAGTATTACAATCCTCATGTCTCCAAGTCCCAAGGTGCTACATGAGTTGGGCATAAACACGCATCACTGAAGTTTCGTTTAATCCAGCATTGTAATCCTACTTAATAGTGGTAGTTATAGAAGCCTCATCTTAGCTAGGCATGATGGCACATGCCTGCCATCTCAAAACTCCAGGAGGCTAAAACAAGATCAGAAGTTCACTGCAGCTTGGCCAATTTAGTGAGACTTGATCTCACATTTTAAAACAGGGCCGGGGATTTAGCTCAGTGGCACTGCACCTGCCTCAAAAGAGCAAGATCCCCGGTACTAAAAAAACAAAAGTCTGGGGAATGTAACTCAGAGCAAAAGTCCTGAATTTAATCCTCTGTGCAATAAAAACATCAACCACACCTTCCAGCTTTTTGTATCCTGAAGAAATCCCTTCCCATCACACTTACATGATCATATCCAATCATTTTTAAGCCTACAAAAAGGCCACATTCCTAATTTTCAATTTTTCCTCAAAAATGATTAGGTTAACTGATCAGTAGTAACAGAAGACATATTTATTTAACTTTTACTAAGTTTCTCTCCTTCCCTAAGGCCTCTGATCTTTGATCCACTCTCAGATTGAGCCAGGGCACAATTCCTTTATGTCACACAAAGAAAAATCTGACTTTGGGGTAATGCCTTCACTGTTCTACAGGTGGATTTTGCCATCCTCACTATCCCCTCCTCTCCCACTTACTCTCTTCTCCCTACAGAAAAAAACCTTTATTCCTAGGCATTCTTATGCCTGTAGACCTCATATTTCGTGCTTTACTCCTAGTGCAGACTCCTAAAGTTCATCTCAAGCAGAATTTCAATTTTTAAAACAATGTCTACAAACAGTCCAAGGGCTACAGCAGCTACATGAGATGACCACCCTGTCCTTTCCCCTCCTACCAAATCACATGGCCACATGGATGCTCAAGTTCAGTGAGTTCCACACAGTGTGTTTAACAGGTTGCCCCTTCTGGAAGTAGTCCTTAGCAGGAACACTTTCTCTTGACTCTGCTAATACATTTACAACATCTCCATTTTTCTCAGCATTCTAACCTCTACGGGAAGTCCTCACTTACATGTTCTATTTGTTAAAGAGGCGACACCTACACAATTAAGATGGTACATTTTTCCTCACTTCTGTGTATTTCACACAGGAGTTGACTGCACGTATGGAAAGCGCTCCTCCACTGAGTCACATCACAAAGAGTGCGAAACCTGACTGGATTCTCACGGCATTTGTCATCACCTATCATTGAGTGTAGCAATGTGGGGACGTATTGGAAATTTAGGAATTTACTCTCCTCGTGACGGAGCATTGGCCTGAGGAGCTAAGTCGTGAGTTTAAGACCCTGTACCGCCGACATTTACAAAACTGAGATCCACCAGGTCCGCCAGTAGGAGGGATGCGACCAGGGCACCGGCACCCCGCAGCTCCTCTACCTCGAGCCCTCACTTGAATCCGGGTCTCCCCACAATTCCCTCTCCGCACACAGGCGGAGGTGCCGCTGTGAGCCGGGATCCCCGAGACTGCACTCTAGCTGGCGGGGTGGCTCGGGAGACGTGGTGCTTGGTACCCAAGATGGGCCAGCCTTAGCCATGGCAGGAGGGACAGAGAGTACACAGGACAAGCGACCAGGAAGAAGTCAGACTCCGGGGCAGGCAGGCACGAGACTCCGGTCCGCCATTGTAGGTTCCTACCCCTTCCCTTCCGGGTTGACCTCCCACATCGCATCCCCTTCCGTCCCACTGCAGGGCACCCATCCACATCATCACCATTGCGTGGCTGGAGGGTCTTCCAGGGTGCTGTCGATGCAGGCTGCCGCCAGTAGAAATCCTAAAGCAAGGTGGTCTAGCCCAGTGAGGTGGCGCTCAGCGAGGCGCTCAGCATCTGGCTTTCCGGGCAGGAAACAGAGGCGCCGCCCCGGGCAATCCTAATTGGACAGTTCCTTGGCGTCTTCAACACAGATTGGCTCCTGCTCCGGTGCCCGCCCTCCGAGCGTGACAGCGGAAACAGTGAAAACAGAAACAAATCCGGACTAGCGTAAATCGAACTGGAATGGTAGATTGGAACTCAGAGACTGCTAAACCAGTTGCTCTCCCAGGATGCAGCTTGTCCTAGACTGTATGTATGTATGTATGTATGTATGTATGTATGTACTTATTTTATTTTATTGGTACCAGGGATCGAACTCATGACCTTGCGCTTTCGAGGCTGGCTTCGGAACCACTGAGCTAAATCCCTGGCTCCTAGACTGTATTTAAACAGAGTTTACTTCTGACTTTCCAGAGTGGCCACTGCTGTTTTTTGTTTTTTGTTTTTTGGTTTTTTTTTTTTTCACAGAATGTCACCTATAATTTAGTCTGTTCTTGAACTCACCATAAAGCCCAGGGTGGCCTTGAGCTCTCTGTTACTCTCCTGCATTAGCCTACTTAGTGCTGGGTGTACAAGCGTGCACCACCACTCCCAGCTACTAAGACAGTTCCAGAGTTAATATACCATAGAAAAATCACTGTGAGAGAATGCCCCGAGTCCAGGAAAGGCCAGGACACAATGGAATGGAGGGAGGGTCTGATGTTGTGAGAAGTTAAAAATATCCAGTAAGGTAAGGGGCTTCATGGACAAAACTTTCTCACATTGTATTTCTCAATTTATGCTAAGAAAATAAATATATGCCAAAAAAGATTACAGTTACTAAATCCACTTTCGGGTGTTGAGGAAGGGAAACCTAAGGACTCCACATTGTAAGCTCCCTGTGTCCTGTAGTTCCTGCTCACAAGCTGAAACTCTCCATCTTTTAACACATTAATATTCCTATAAGGAAAATATTACCTGAAGTCTTGTGGTACTCTTGATTAGTATGTTGTTTGGCATGAGAGGTGGGTAGGATATTAGTAAAGTACAGTTCTGATGTGTTGGGTTGAGTCATGGAGGTGTTACAGTATGGACCATATCTTCTCTCTCCCCCTTCTCTGGTAGCAGTTTTGCTCTGTACTTCTTGCTTCTCATATAGTAGTTACCTTTCTTCATTTTCTTTCCACTATGATATTCCTCATTTGGACTCCTATACCAACCAACTTCAAACTCTGAAACCATGAGCAAAAATAAAACTTTTATTGTTTAATTGTGTATGTTGGGTATTTTGTGCCTACACTAAGAACCTAATGAAATTAATAGTACATGTCTGAGAAAAGTAAAATTCCAAACGCATCAACCTTTTCTTTAGAAGAGTATATAAATGAGTTTTCTCTGTAATTACTTTTCACATTTTCTTCATATAAATGTATTTCAGTTTGACTCCAGGAACTCTTTGCATATCAAAACCACTTTCCAGGGAAAAGCTCATAGTAACCAGTAAAAACCATGGAAAGGACAAAACTTCCAATACAACTTACGCGTTTGTCACCTACTTTCCTTCTCTCTGCAGCTTGTGGCTGTCAACACTCCTTTTAGAGCTGTTCTAAGCAGCTGGAGGCAACAAAGAGGTCTGCAGCCCAAGGGGGTCCTAGGGGATGGTATGGCCCTTCCTGATCAGGTTCAAGATCCATCTCAGCTTCATGACACTGGATTTAAGACTATTCCCCACTACAGTTAATTCATCTGCTTTATCAATGTTGATGAGTTATATGACATCAATATACCTAACTCATTTGTTAATACAAACCAGGAGAGTCCTTGCTTTCCTTATGAGCTTATCAATGAAGAAGAAAAAGAAATTCTGTGTATCGATTTAAAATATATAAGAATTATTACTTATTGAAAAACAAAGTTGCCACAAAACTTATTTCCATATGACAAAATGTATAGGAAAAAGTTAATCAAATGTGAATTGTCCAGTTTTTCCTGTGTATTGGTGATTTCCTCACTATTCCAGTTGAATATTATCACAAGATGCTCTGTGCATAGGAAGTTTACATTTTCTGTTCACCTTTTAGAACAATCTCTTTAGAACGATCTCTTTTTCCTCTAGTCAAATCCTACACATCATATATGTTCCTCCCCTTTCAAAAAAGTGCAACTGCCCTGAGTTTTAATCTTCTTGAGCCTCAATCACATTCCTCTATTTCAGCTGTTTATTTGAAACTGTGTTACAGTGAATACACTGATATATTGGATGAATTCTAGGGGCAAACTTATTGTGGCTGTTTTCCACCAGAGGAACTATAAGAACATACATACAGGAATGACTGACAGGGCATTGAGTCATCTCAGGTTCCTTCAACCTGCATCCTTCTCTCAAAATGACCATGCGAGGTAAACATTTTGAATTGATTCACAACATTGAGGCAGCCATGACAGCACAACTAAAAACATGAGAGAAGATTTCCAGAGCTGCTTTACAAAGTGCTAAGAATGATGGCATAAGTGTGTTTGAAGTGAGACAGAGTATTCTGCACGGAATTACTTGCAATGTGTATTTTACTGTAGTTGTTGTTTTAAAATTTAAACATTCATTGGATGTGGTGATTACAACTCATAAAGGATATAACTTATAAGCAGGAAACAATGCTAAGTAATAATCATTTTGATCAGACCTGCTACTTTTTCAAATGAACACTCTGAAAAAAGAGGGAGCAAATTGACAACAGGAGTAAAAAGACCTGGTTCAATCAATACACAAGAATAAACATGAGAAATAGGAAACATACATTAAATGTAAAATGAAGTGCAAAAGTACATTAAACATGACAATCATCACATTAAATATAAGTCAGTTAAATTCCTGTCTCAGGAAAAAGTTACTTTCAGACTTCGCTAATAACTAAAATCCAGTTATGTACTGTTTAAAAGATATAACTTTAAACAAATGACAAGATTAAAAATAAGAGCTATATCACACAAACATTCATTAAGAACATGAAGCTGATATGGCAATATTTAGAGGCTGATTAAATAAAACTCAAGGCTGAAGCTGAGGGTGTACCTCAGTTGTAAAGCACTTGCCTGGCATGTGCAGGGCCCTAGGTTTCATCCCTAACACTGCAAAAAAACAAAAACAAAAAGCAAACCAAACTAAAAGAATAACAACAAACAAAGCCCTAAAATTTAAGTCCAGTTTTAGCCAGAGAAAAGTTTTTAAAAATTATTGATATAAGGTTACTGCCTCCAAAAATATGACATATCCAATATTTACTGAGTATTTATTACCTGTCAGACATGAGTGCTTTCCAAGCAGGCATTATATCTTACAGTCCTTAGCTAAAGCCCAGTACTGTCCCTCTTCCACTATTATTGCTGTCATTCATCAGCTGGAGAAGCTAGGTTAGTCGTTGGTTACTTGGTTAAGAACTAGGACTCAACCTCTTATAGTATACAGTTAATATCCTATCTTTGAAATATACAAAGCAAAATCTTTTAGGAATACTCTTGATTTTCTTCTTATATGCTAATGCCTAAGCCAGGTGTGGTGGGAGAGAGAGAGAAGGAGAGGGAGAGAGGGCAATAGTAACAACCAAAAATAGAAAGAGAGAAAGAGAGAAAAGAAAGAAAGAGAGAGAGAAAAAAACTATAAAAGCATACTACTGATAAAGTGTAATTTCCTTCCAATATTTAGGAAGTTTTTTTTTTTTGGTACTGGGGATCGAAGGGAAGAATTTTTTATTACATTCACAGACATGGTTTATTATAACAAAAGGAGACAGATTAATATTACTCAAAGAAAGAGGAACATCAGCAGGTCTAGGACAAGCTTCCAGTTGCTTTCTACCAGTGGATCCAAGAATATCCTAAATGCTCCTAGCAGCACTGCCCCTTACTGTGCAGAAAACACAGCCCATCAGGAAAATCTCCCCACGCTTGATGCCCTTGCTCCCACCTCCCTCCATCTTAATCTCTTTTCCAGTTGATCCATGATTTTTTTTTTTGTACCAGGAATCGAACTCAGCATCTTGCTCTTGCCAGGCAGGCACAGCGCCTCTAAGCTACATACCTGGCCCCAATCTATGATTTTCTTTCTTTTTTTTTAAATGGTTTTCTGTTGACTTTTTTGTGGTGCCTGGGATTGTAACCAGGACCTCGCACATGCTGTTCAAGTGCTGCACCACTGAACAATACCTCAGCTCAATTACTTCTCCCCAGCCCAATCCCCTTCCCCTTTGAGAATGAACGACCTATCTCCCTATTTCCTGTTATCTACAATAGCTTTTATTTTGCTCTTTCTTTTTATTCTGGGTTTCTTATGTTTAAAAAAAAAAACCACAATGTGATGTTTAAGCTTGTGTGTCTGATTTATTCCATTTGTAAGAGATACAGTCTACCACTCATGATATTTCAAAGAATCTTAACATATTTTTGACTCAAAGTATTGCAAAGTTGCAGGGTTGCTGAGCCTGCTCCATATCCACCCCATGAAGCTGCTGCTGGCACAGCGTCTACACAGCCCATGGAGTCAAGCGCACACCCCAGCCCTCACACTAAGGACCCAGGGGGCTCAGACCCAGCCCGTGCAGCTCCAGCCTCGCCCGCTCACAGAGAGGAGCAGGTCAGAGCTAGCGCCTCCTGCACCCTCCAGAGCATCTCAAGCATCTATTGTTCAGTATTTGCACAGAACCTTGCCTGCCTTTCCACTATTCCTGAACCAGATACTCCAGTCCTCCTTCCAGGACTGGAAGAGCACACAGCAAGGCCAGAAGCACAGCTCACCAGGAACAGAGGCCGGGTTGGTGACATCAGAAGAAATATTCGCTCAGCACTGACCTGGGGAATCCAGTCCTCCCTGGCTGAGGACTACAGTACCCAGAATTCTTGACATAATTAATTTTCCCATGGCCTTCAATACCCAATATCCTCTGTGAGTGCACAGGACAACGTACCCAGAGCCCTTGGCATGATTTCCTCCTGTGCTACCATACCTAGAATACTGCTCAGAGCCTCAGGAGTACCTACCTAGAGTCTGTGGAGTAATTTCCCCATAGATATAACAAACAT